CTGTTTTATGGATTCCATTTGTTTCCTATGTTGGGATTCCATCATGTTCCTCAGCTCCTCTCTAGATTTATTAATCATGTCTTGCACTAGGAACATGATCTCTCCTGTTATCTGAGAAATTATTTCTGATTTCATTTTTTTCAAGATCCCCTTTTGTTACCAGTTCAGTGGGTCCAGGTAGTTGAGTATCTGTGTTCCATCTCATTTCCCTTTGGGGTTGCTGTAGGTGATCTGCAAGTCTGGTTTTGTGACTTATTTACATGTCTTCTCATTTCAACTCGGGGGTGAAGGGGGATGGTGCTGGCACCCACAGGGCTCACCTCCTCTGAGCTGGGAGAGGTGGGACAGGGGCCAGGAGCAGCAGGAGGGATGGTGGCCCAGAAGCCCCTTCCTCTAGGCCAGGAGTGGCAGGAGGGATGGTGGCCAGGAAGCCCCTTCCTCTGAACCAGGAGCAGTGGGATGGTGGCACAGAAGGCCCTACCTCTAGGCCAGGAGTGGCGGGATGGATGGAAGACCAAAAGCCTTTTCCTCTGGGCCTGGAGTGGCGGGATGGATAGGAGCCCAAAAGCTCTTTCCTCTGGGCTGGGCAAGTTTACATTTATTTAACTTTGTATTTAAAGGAAAAATAGGCAAAACAAAGAATACACAAAAATTGAGAAGTTAGACTTAAATATATACATAAACACATTAAAAGTAAATGGGTTAAATACTAATTTAAAGACAACAATACATTTGTCTTTTATATCCAGTTTACTTCAGTTTATATATTTCACTTCATCTCCAGAAAATTTCTACTTTAACCTATGCTCTGTCATGCACTATAAATTATACACACAACATATTGAGTTGATATCATCAAAATTGTTTACTGATTAAAGCTTATGTAGAATAGTTTAGAAAAGATAATTTTCTACTGTGGGAAGACAACTTTTGTATGTGGAAAGGAACACAAATTCAAGGCAGATATAAAATATTATCCAAGTTATGAAGGTGGTATTATAGCCAGGAATGCAGATTTCTGAACTATTAAGTTTCTAGTGTTGTAGCTTTATTGAATTAATGTAGTCATGCATTGATTGTCTTTGATTTTGTTTGAAAAGTACAAACTTGAACTATCTCGAAAATCTAGGAATTTTCTGATTTCATAAGCATTCTGAGCAGTAGTTCTAACCTAACTCAGACATTCTTTTCCATGAATCTGGGAGCAGTTCTCAGACATGTTTACATTGTGGGGAAAAAAACCAAATTAATTGTTTTTTAACTTCCAGTTGAGACTGGTGCATTAAATATTTTATTTCATTATTTTTAAAAGTTTTTCCTAAATAATTTAATGGATGCTAAATTATGACTACTGGTCAGGCTTTATTCTGGGAAAAGAAGTTAGAAGTGATACTATTTTGACTTTAATATACATGAATTTTACTATTTTGATTTATTGTTATTTTTTGTCTAAGAACTTTATGAGAAAACTGATTTATTTTTAGTGTTGCTATTGAATGATGATAATTATTATTGTTATTCTTATCCA